AAAAAATCAGAATTGAGCAATGTGAATGTTGCCAAGCTCCCAGTATGTGGATGCAAGAGGAAATGCAGCACCAGGCTGATCAGATAATGCAAATGTTAGAAAAAGAGCCAAAGAAACCGTCCAAAACCATTCGAGCTGTGAACGCCAGGGTCAAACCATCCGTTGCAGTTACTCATGATGATGAGCTTCATAGAGGAAGACACAGGACTGTTGTTGACAGAAACATCACAACATAGAAATTGATCAAGCTGCATGTTGACAAGCCTCAGGTTCTGGACTGATAAAAACTGGAATCACATTTGTTGTTTGTTTTTTGATTTTGTGAACRGTTCTCTCACAAACTGAAAAATACCTGTGCTTACTTATTTTTGTACRTATAATAACCGTTTTATTGTTGATTTTACGACTCATCAGGTGGTGTGCATCAACAACATCAACTTCCAAAGGAAGTCCGTCATTGTAAGTTCACATGTAACAAGAAAACAGTGCTGCTCTGTTTTACTGTTCCCACACATCAACCAGGTTTAATATAAGTTAAAGTTAGTTATGCTTGGAGTTATAAACTCAGGACAAGTTTAAACTAAATGAGCAAAATGCAAAAGAACAAGTTATAACCCAATTCAAGGTGACTGCCACAGCTGAAAGTCTTACCAACAAGAGCTCTGAGAGCTAACAGATTGAGCAAGATTTGTTTTTAAAACTTTATCAAATGCAGCATACCMTGTCTGTTAGCAGGTTGTTAAACAGCAAGTCCCAAAGTTATTGGAAGTAATAGCAGCTAATTTAGATGCTCAAACCCACTTTTCTTTCTATTTGTCACAATGRAAGTCATTATTTTACTGTTAAATGTTACGTTTCCACGTCTTTGTTTTGTTTTTCAGGGCTATGTTGAGCTGGCCATTTTCCCCACAGTGGTCAACCTGAACCGGATCAAACTGAACAGCAAACAGTGCCGCATCTACAGAGTCAGAGTGAATGAACTGGAAGCCCCGTTTATTTACAACGACCCCACCCTGGAAGTGTGCCACAACGAGTCCAAGCAGTAAGTGTACCTGCGTCTGCATTTCACCAACGGTCGAAAGTGCAAATGGAACCAATGTGCACGGAGTTTGTTGTGGTGCGAGCTGAAACCCACCAGGTTCAGTAAAACCAGTGGTTCACAAACTGTAGCATGAAGTCGTGTTGGGGGGGTTGCATGACTTTTGTTTTTATCTTCAATCAGGGCTAACGTTATAGCTTTTTTAAGGATTCCCAAAGCTGTCCTACATTTCCTTTAGTCAGAGAAACCATTGAGTTAATATTGTTACACTTTTTGTTTAAATAGGAGGAACCTGAACTACTTCTCTAGTGCCTACACAGCAGCAGTGAGTGCTGTGGATCCTGATGCTGGTAATGGAGAGCTGGTCATCAAAGTTCCCTCTGAACTCTGGAAACAAGCAGACGGTAAAATGACRTCATGACATCCTTCTGTCCCCTACTGATTTTGTTCACTTTGTTACAATGTAAAAACRTGTTCAGACTAAAGTCAGGCTGGCATTTTTATCCTCCATCGCTGAGAAAAGATGGTGAATTTAAAATACTCTTTCTKTGCTGTGAGCTGGATAACTTGAAAAGTAAGTGAAGTAACAACTTATRTTTTCTTGTGTGGCAGCAGAGGTGTGAGAAAGGTCACTATTGAAAATCCAAGATGGCCACCCCCATATACGTTTAAACCAGACACTTGTGCTTTGAGGAAACTGGGCTTTCTAGTTTTTATATTGCTTAAAATATAGTATTCTCAAACAAATGTTGTGTTCAAAGAATAATTTATGATGGCAAAGACCACCACTGACCACCCTCTGGCTCCACCTCGACAAAAACAAACCTCCCTCTGTTCTCACACAGAGTTTAACTCACATCCACTGAATATGTTGCACCAAAAACATTAAGATTTAKTAACATTCTCWGTTYAATTCCAGCCCAKAAAAACACTCRTCTTGAAAAACKACAGATAATAAACTAAAACTGATAAACTAAAGATAATAAAGTTGTTTTACTCGTTCRGTAGCTTGAATCAATCTGATTTAGACTTTTCTTTATGTCCTCAGAGCTGAAGGTGCTGAAGGTCTACATAGAGTTTTCCTTGGACCAGCCCAAAGGGGGTCTCCACTTTGTTGTTCCTGATGTGGAAGGCAGCATGGCAGAGAGGGGAGCCCACGTGTTCTCCTTCGGATACCAGAACTCCACAAGGTCCAACAGYGAATAATAATAAATGAGTGTTTTTGCTAAAATAGAATCATGTGAAGGTTGATAGAGAAGAGGCAGAAACTGAGTTGTTCTAATAAAAACAWGGAGAACGAAAGTTAGAACAGATCCTCAGACGATCAAAACATGAGCTAAAATTAGCAGAACAGTAGCTAAATCGCAGTAGTTAAAGTTAAGATTAGCAGGAATGCCACTTAAAAACTAGGATAAGCAAAAATATAARCAAAATTGTTGCTGTAAACTGTTGCTGGAAGCTAAATGTATTCTGACCKTAGCTATAATCTACATYAAGCAAAACGGTGGCTAAAATCTCWAATTATAAAAACAGTAGCTTAAAGTGGCAGAACTGTATGATAATGTGAAATTATTTGGAATGACAAAATTATTAGGATTAACAAAACTAGCTAAAGGCTAATATAAGCAAAACTGAATGAAAAAAACGAAATGATAGTTATAAACTAAATATAGCCTAACTTTAGCTTTAATCTAAGTTAGGCAAAACTGTGGCTAAAAGCCTAAATTATAAAAAAAAGAGCTAAAAGATTAAAGTGGAAGAACTTCAATAAGTTAAAATGTTCAGAACATTCACTGATGTCATCAGCTCCTTATCATTTTCTGAGTGTGACACCGTGGGTTGCTTTTTTACCAGCAGATCAGCCAGCTCTGATRTTACCTYGCTTGGGGGCTCAGAGGTGGCCTCACTTTACTCTTCGTTCCGCCTTCATGCTTTTTCTGAATGCTCAGAGGACGACAGAACACGCTTCAGTCCCGGACTGAGCTGTCTTATGAATGAGGCTTATAAGAACAGGAGCTAAAAGCTTAAACGGGCAGAACAGTTTTTAGAAGCTGAAATGAGCAGAATTGTAGCTTACGTGAATTTKAGCTAAAATCTAAAYATGGCAAAACCATWGCTAAAATCTAAGGTTAGCAAAACTGTTTCTGAAATCCATGAT